CACAAGAGGCTCAATGGGAATCAGATCACAGAGTCTTACAGCCCGTGGTGAGGACTTAGAATCTCTCACTCTGAAGAAAATGGAGACCTTTTGTAAGGTTTTAAGCAAGGCAGTGACATGACTTAATTAATGGTTTTGAAAGGAGCCTTTGGCAGCTGTGTTGAGATTACTCAACGCTGGGAACACAGGGCAATAGTAAGACAACCAGTTAGGAAACAGAATATAGGAGAAGAAAAAAAGCAAGTGATCATTGCAGAATGGTGACAAGTGTGAAAATATGGACCTAAGTTGAAAGTAAAGCTCATAAGATTCCCTCACGAACTGAATATTAAGGATGAGAGATGGGCAAGCTCTGATGAAGTCCTCTAGAGTCTGGGATGGGGCAAATGGGAGAACAGAATTGCCCTCAGCTGAGATGGGGAAGTCCATGGGTTGAGCAAGTTTCAGGGCAGAGAGATGAGGAATTCAATTTAGGCATAACAAGTTTTAGATTTCTATTAAACATTCAAATAAAGATGTCCAGTGGGCAGTTGGTTCTATGAAGCTAGAGTTCAAGGGACATACCTGGGTTGGGCATTTTGATTCAAGAGTTGTCAGCATTTAGAAATATCTAAGATAGGAGACGGGATGAAATCAGCAGGCAAGTAAGTAAAGATAGAAAGTGAAGAGAGAGCAGAACAGTGACCACTGGACTAAGAGAAGTTCTGGGGGTGAGGGGGATGCCCGAGAGCCAAGTCAAGAAAGTATAAGTAAAGGAAGGTAACAATAGCTAAACTATGGAACCAACCTAAGTGTCCTTCATTGGATGAATGGATAAAGAAAATGTGGCATATATATACACCATGGAATATTACTCAGCCTTAAAGAAGAATGAAATGACAGCATTTGTTGGTAAATGGATGGAGCTGGAGAATATCATGTTAAGTGAAATAAGCCAATCTCAAAAACCCAAAGGCCAAACGTTTTCTCTGATAGGAGGATGATAATCCACAGTAAGAGGTGGGGGGCTAAGGAAGAATAGAGTTACTTAGGAAGGATAGCAAAATGAATCACACATTATTACCCTATGTGCCTATATGATTACATGACCAGTGTGATTCTACTTCATGTACAAACAGAATAATGGGAAATCCTACTCCTTTTATGTATGATGTGTCAAAATGCATTCTATGGTCACGTATAACTAATTAGAACAAATAAAAATTATGTTTTAAAGAAAAGGAAAGCACTGATCAGGGATAACTTATCCTAGATCATGTAAGGCGAGGACTGAGAGTTGACTCCATGAAGATCTGGCTAATCTGTCACGAGGCGATTTGGTGGAGTGGTGAGGAGGTGGAGGAAGCCTAATCATTCTGTGCTTTAAGAGGTAATAGAAGAAAGTGAGAATAGATGTTTTTCCCAAGAAGTTCTGCTGAAAAGGGTAGAAAAGAAATGGAAAATAACTGCTACCCGAAAGGGAGTCCAATGAAGGCTTTTTGATGTGAAAAGAAATTACAGCATGATTCAGTGTTGATGTTAGATGTGTCAAGCCCGTGGAAAATGGCTTGTCACTTGGCAGCTGGTATTAGCTAGACTCCATAAGAGCCCAATCTTACATTCTGTAATCTTGACTTGTCAAAAAACGTTTATGTATTTATAATTCCCAATATATAAGTACCCGTGAATATAAGGGACGAGGTTGGCCTATGCCCGGGAGAGCTCAAATTCAAATGGAAAGAAAATTAAAAAAAAAAAATCTTTCCCCGATTTAGGAATAGCCTTTTCCCAACATTTCAGACAGCCACACCATTTCAAGGAAAAACACCCAGGATAACTACCACTTCCCTTTCTAGCCATTTTGGATCCAGAACACTCACACCAAGAGGCATACGTTCTCCCCAGAATTCCTTATTTTCTTCTTGGTAAATGAAAACATGTTCTTAGAGAATCGATGCCCTAGAGAGGCTTAGATCTTAGCTGATGACTTCCCCTACTCCTCCAATCTATTCGATTCATACTACCCTTGAAATACTATAAAAAATAAATGAGAGAAAGAAAAGAAAAAGGGCTAGACCAAGAATAAAAGGAATAAGAGAAAACTTGATCCAAAGTGACAGAGGCTGGTTGATCGGAATGGGAAGGACAGAGTGAATTATACTACAATTATTGAAGTCCATGTCAAATTGGTTGGGTGTTTATTTTGCCTACCTTTGGCCGTTCTCCATTTTCTGGTAGTAGCACCTTGATTTTCTCTTGAAAACTGTCGCACTGTTATTGCCTACAGGCCTGGTGGAACGTGGATCTCCTTGCTGTAGGCAGAATGCTCAAGCTGGACTGATCAATTTCCCTCTTGAAGGCAGTAACATAGGGAGGGAAAAGAGTTCCCCTCTTCTCCTTTTTTTCCCTACTTTTGTATTATGTTAGGCACATCTACGTGTCCTGCAACCTTAAAATGCTAGCACTAGACTAGTCCACAAATCTGATTGTTACTGTAGACTTTTTAAATGACTTCTTTTAACATTCTGTTTCCTAGGCAGAGATATGCCCCTGTGTGCCACGTTAGGTCCTTCCAGCGCTTTCTCTCACCGACTTTATAGAATCCCTATTAGATAACAATTAGAAATTACTATTCCTCCTGTTCACCAAGTCCTCGATTGCATGTCAACAAATTAATGCTAAAATCTCCGTTCCTTTATTTTCTCTTTGATGCAATAATAATGATTAAATAAATAACACTGCAATACCTAATATGAACTTTAAAGGATTTCTTAGTTCTTTTGTATATTCTAGACTGCCATTTGTGGGGAAAAATGAGATCCTTTGTCTATTAAAAATTCTTTTTAATATCTAAAATGGAAATTAGCTATCGAGATGCCACTCTCAAGAGCCTTTTGCTCTTGGCTATGAAACCTTCATTTGAAAGCCTTTTCCTTTGAATTCTCTGCCACAGTTTTATGGGATGCTCAATGTAAACAGATGCCTCATATAAATTTCATTTTTATAGGTAGCTAATATACTAATATCCTACAGGGATAATTTAAGCTCCCAGGTGTCCAGGTTTTAACTAGGCTACAAAGAAAATTTAGCCAAGGACAACAGGACAAACCACCTAAGCTAGAAATGTCATGGCTTTTACATGAGGCATAAGGACTTCAGCAAACTTCCCAACAGTGTCACACAAAGAACAATCTGGCTAGGGAAGAGACTCCATTAACTGAGGTGAATCAAATTTATAGATTTTGTTGGGGCCATTTAGAAGCATGAAGTCCTTGTATATATTATTTATATACACAATCCCACATTGAAACTTGGAGTAGTAAAATGCCTCATAATGAGATGGCATCAAAACATCTACTCTTCCTACCAAGCTTATTGTTCTGAGATTACAGAACGGAATCCATGCTATTGGAGGGTTCATCACGCAAAAATAGATCAACAGTTCCTATTATGCGCACACATATATATGACTGCATGCAGCCAAGTTCCTGTTGAGATGAAATTTAAACCTTCACAGGAGAAGCTACCAGCCATGCTTTACACTCAAAAATTAACAGGAAGCAGTTCTTTGAGCATTCCCTAAATACAAAATGACCTTTGTTCGTTATTCAAACCTGTGTTTGGGAGTCACTCTTCGCCCTGGTGTAATAGATCCTTTTAGAGCTGTCCCCCCAATAAGACAGGAACTACTAAGCTCAGAATTAGGAAGGAGGTGAGTCCACTAGCTTCAAGGACAAGAAGTTTATTGGAAGAAATCAATCCCTACCCTTTGAAGACTAGACATTTGACAAACCTCTGCAAGTGATTAGCTTGGTAGCAACCGAGGTCTGCAAAAGGAAAAACTAGAGACATGGGATACAGGACTGGGGGTAAACATAATGCATGGGATTGTGGGGGGGGGTCTCATGGATTTTCATGCAGCATCTGTCTGGAGCTGCTGCAGTCTCCTTAGGCATAGAAGTAATGCTTTGGGGCAATGGGTCCAGCATGAGTGTAACTCTAAAAACCGCCAAACCTGTGGGGTAGCTGAATTTGTACCCTGTGGTGGGAAGCAAGTCAGGGAGAAGTTTTCAGCTAGCTGAGACATGGTTAACAACAGAAGTGACAGAAGAGGTCCTCTCGACTTCACTCCAAGGTACAAATGGGAAGCAAGATGAACGCCACCTTCAAGAGTGCCCATCCCAGAAAATCTTGACAATGTGGAAGTACATTTTCCCAGAATTTGTAACCTTGAGATTTTCTCCTAAACAGATGTGATGGCTACTTTAATGAGCCAAGTTAGCTAAACTATGGTGCCCAGTTGTCTGGTCAAACATCATTGTAGATGTTGCTAAAAAAGTATTTTGTAGATGTGATTAAACAATCAGTGACTTAAGTAAAGAAGATTATCCTCAATGTGTGTGGGCCTCCTACAGTTAGTTAAAGGCCTCAGGAACAAACACTGAAGTTTCCCAGAGAAGAAAGAATTGTGCTTGAAAACTATAAAAACAGAATTCCACCTGAGTCTCCAGTATGCCAGCCTGTTCTATGGATTTCAGTCCCCATTATCATGTTAGCAAATTCTTAAAATAAACCCTCTCCAAATCTCTCTTTCCATCCCTCCATAGAGAAATACATAGATATACACATATATATATATATATACACATATGCATATATACATATTTGTATACACACACACACAGACATATGACCAGGTGAATGCTTGAGTGATTCTTTGGAAAAAGGCAAACTATGCATCCCTGATCCTCTCCTCTTAGAAGAAAGAGACCAAGGGGAAATATTGGGGAATAATATTAACCAAATTATATTGTTATATTACATGCATCTGTGATTATGTAACAACAAATCCCATCATCATTACAACTATAATGCACCAATAAAAATTATGGGAAAAAAAGGCATCCCTGTGTGTAACCCCAGGTAGAACGGTAGTCCAGTTTTTGTTTGCCAACTTCTACACAGTTCATGAACACAGGCTTATATTCTATCACTATAATGCTCAAACCCTCACACAGAGTTAAAATGATTTATTAAGAGTCACACATCTTGCCAATACAAGTATCATTCTTCTTTTATAAATAACACCCCCATATCTTCCTTTTAAAGTGTATTTTCTGTAAATTATCTTTCTAACATATTACACTCAAAATGAAACTATAAGAAAGGGGAATCCCAGGCAGACTCTTCTTGTACTTTCAAATAACCCCAGGGCTTTGGCAGAATTCCTGAATTCTCTTCAGGTTTCGGAGAGGGACAGGCAAGGACCCAGTGGAATCTATAGCAGAAGCTTAGTTCAGAAACTGAGAACTTCTAGGATCCGGAGAGAAAAAGACACATGGCCATTCACCTGGAAAATAAAAAGGAGAGAGAAAGCCAAAGCTCAAAACTAAAGAGATCAGTAACCTCAAATTAAATTCATCAATTCATCCAAAATGTATTAATTAAGCAGTTACTATACAAGGAGTTACACTTGCATCATGGGGCAGTGATGTGGAAAGACAGAAAGTGAGCTATGCCCTCCAGAGCTGTAACGTATATATCCTATATACACTGGTCCCAGTTTACATATGAGGAAACTGAATATGAGAAAGACAAAGAAATGTGGTGTTTCTAGAATGTTTTCTCTCTCTCTTTTTTTTTTTTTTTTTTTTTTTGCTGTTGTTGTTTTGTAGTAGGGATTGAACCCAGGGGCATTTAGCCACTGAGCTATATCCCTAGCCCTTTCTTATAGTTTATTTAGAGACAGAGTCTCACTGAGTTGCTTAGGGCCTAGCTAAGTTGCTGAGGCTGGCTTTGAACTCCCAATCATCCTGCCTCAGCCTCTTGAGCCACTGGGATTTCAGTGTGTGCCACCGCCCCCAGCACTAGAATCTATTCCTTAAGTGAGACAAGAAAAATAAATAAATAAATAAATAAATAACTGTAAAATGAGATAAAATTCAAGAGGTCTCATTGGTGTGGATGGGAGTCAATTGATGAGAATTCTATGGAGGAATGATAATAAAGGACTCTAGGATCCCAAAATGCAATGCTACCTGCTAACAGAAGATGAGTGTGCACAAGGAAGGGCCAGGTTAAGATCTTTGGAGGCCTTATTTCCCAAAGAGGTTGGCAGTGGGGCTCATGTCCCTTTATCACTACCATATAAAATGCAAAGCAAAAATAGTACTAACTTTTTTTCAGTTAAAGAGATTCAGCTAAGTTCTGAATGTTCCCACAAGGAAGATCACTGCTCTTCTGGCAGTTAGATATTCGTTCAAAACCAATTTTTGTTGAATAGTTGAAACAAAGACCGATGGCCCACAAAGACTATTTTAGTGGGAAAAAAATATTCTCCAATTCTTGATCTATAGAGTAACTTTGTATAGGCAGAAATGGAGGGAGGAAAAAAAGTATGCAAGTGATATTGTTTACCCAAGAAAATAGACTGGCAACTGCCAACCTCGTCAAGAGAATACAAAATGGCAATCAGGTAGATAGGTAGGTAGGTACACAGGTCACCTTAAAGGACAGAATCTCCCAATTCAGTCTGCCTCCTAGAAATAGATCACCCAAGATTGAACTGAAAGTTGATTAAATATCATGAAATTGATACGTATGCAAAGTGTGACACGTTTACCTGACCACAGGACTAACCCATCCCAACTCCATCCCCATGAAGGGAATCAGAGTCCAAGTCATGATCAAAAGTTGTTTGACAAGCACATATTCAGAGAGAGAGAGAGAGCCTGAATTGAATTGAAATAGCAGCAGCTGGCAAGAGCTTAAAGCAGCCATTTTTATCTTATTGGGGGTATCTGTCAGTGGAGCCAGAGTTCCAGACCCCATGAGGCTGCCCCACAGAACATGACAGGCACTGCTACATCTGCCTCTGTAGTCTTCCTTCTCCCACTTGGCCACCCGCCCTTGGCATGAACACATTCTTTGGAAACCTGAAGTTTCTTCAATAAGGCTTCAGTAAAGTTGGGCAAGCCAGTCTGCAGTCCATTCAAAGTCTTTAGATCGAGATAGTGCTCATCTCTCTCTTCTTTTAATTTTCAAGGGCTTCTCTGTCTGCGAGTTCAGTTCTGAGTGCTTGCTGGCATATCCCCTGCTCTTCATTCATACCAGTTGAGAGTGGGTTCAGCCCACTCATTGTCATGCACCTCACTGGGTGAGTAATTACTTCCTCAGGAACTCAATTGGTGCCACAAGCAGTTGTTCACCTATTCAGGAATGTAGACAAAGAGCTCATTTACAGGCCCTAAAATCTTATCAAATCCTGATTTATACAGGTAACCACATCAATAAACACATCAAAATCCTGCCGGGTAAGTGACAGTCACTAAATAACACTGAATGTGTCTTTCCTGATGGACTCTGATTCAGAATGCACAGCTCTTTCTCTCTAATAAAACTTTTAGACTGCCTCTGCACTGGTAGCAAAGCTTTCGGCCACGCTGACCACATCTACTTGACTTTGTAAAGCATATCGCAGGGGTGGGGGGTTGATTGAACATTTTCAGTCATTTCCTTGTCCCGCTGATTGATAACTTGACATAGCACCAAGCTATCAGGTATCAATTGCGTACTTTTTAAATTATGCTGACATGGAGCAGTCTAGAATAATTGTTGCTGTTTGAAGAAATGTTTGCAAAGCAGAAAGGTTTTAAACTCTTTGAAAGATGGAGGAAAGAGAAAGAGAAATAACGTGTTTCAAGCCAGTCACTTTGTTAGGTACTTTCCACGTGAAGTATTTATTTTCAAGTTCAAAACACATACCTGTTTCTTAAAGGAAAAGTGAAGGCTCAGGTAAATTAAGTAACTTGTCCAAGTTCTCACAGCCAGTAAGTGGTGATTTCAGGAACACAAACTCAAATCCGCCCTCCTCTAAGGTCTAATCTCATTCTGTCGTACCATGTTGCCTTTTTCCACACCAATCAGCTAGTAGGCTGGGTAATTCTTGAGGCCTCTGATGCATTATTATAAAAAGCATCTGCTTTAGAATAGAAGCTATTCTTGGTTTTAGATTTCCTAAACTAACTCACCATCATACCTATAGCACTGAAATAAGGTAGAGATGAGAAACATAAATAAACTGGTATTTCTATTATCTTCCCTAACTCCCATATAGTCACTAAGGAACATCGGCTACTGTCACTAGTCATTCAAGGAACTCAGCAGGTATTTTTCTAGCACTACCTTGAGTCACCCATTCCTGATGGGCTTTGTAAAAGATTCTTACCATAGTCTGCCCTGGTGGCTGAACACATCAGCTACACAATAGACAAGAACCCAATATAAACTTGAACAAATCAGGGTTTTGAAGAGGTTGAAGAAGAAATATTTTTTTTCCAATCACTTAGTTTTTTTTTTTTTTTTTTAATGTGTAGAAAGAGAATCAGGGCACCAGGCTATGATTAAAACTGTTAACCATACAGATGATTTGCCCTCTCCTTGGAGTAGTCGACACTAAACCTGCTCAACCAAGAAATCCTGTTTGATAGTGAATGCTCCTGCTTATCAAATCACAAACAGTCAACCATTTCCAGTCAAAGAGTCAAGCAGACCCTGGCAGTGATATCAAAACTTGATGCTATCTCCCCTGCCCTTCTTGGAAACTTTCTGTCTTCTGACATGCTCCAGGGGTGTGGCAGCGAATACCACCTGCAACATACTAGAACGTGAAAAACTTCAAATATGAAATGGAGGGTACTGATTCAGAGAAAAAAAATAGAGCATTATTTGCTCTTTGAAGCTCAGTATTATCTTCTACAAAATGGGCATGGTACCCCTGTCTCATGGGGGCATTGGAATGTCAATGAAATATGGTTGGTGGAAGGTTTTCCATTTGCCAAAATATTATCTGATGTGTAGTATAAACCAAATATTGTGACAGGCACTGTGGATACAAGAATAAATGAAACAGATACTGCCCATGTTCTCATAGATCTTTAGAGGCAGACAAACATTAAATGAATAGTCACAGGACAAGCTAAGTAATTAACATTTGTTGATGTTATAAAGCATACTATAAAGCACAGAGTTCTGTGGGAGTATATAATAAAGACTTCCTGCAATAGGTTAAATAACAACACCACCCCAAAATGTAAGTGTCCTGATCCCTATGTGTGAATACGTTACCTTACATGGTAAAAGGAATTTTGCAGATATGATTAAGTTAAGGACTGAAGATAGGAAGATTACTTGAATTTTCAGGTGGGTCTAATCACAAGAACCCTAAAAGTGAGAAAGGAAAGATAGAGGAAGATTTGATGACAAAAGGGGAGTTTTGAAGGATAAGATATGAGGAAGACTCAACCCGCCATTGCTGACTTTGAAAATGGTAGAGAGAGCCACAAGCCAAGAAATGTGGGTAACCTGGCAAGAAAACACTCTCTTACAGCCTCCAAAATGGAAAGCAGAAGGCTGACATTTTTATTTTATCCCAGTGAGGCCTGCTTCAGACTTTTGGCCTTACAATAAGGTAAGACAATAAATTTCTATCTGTTATTTTGAGACACCAAGTTTGGTAATTTGTTATAGCAGCCATAAAAAACTCATACGGCCTACTCTTAGTGGACTGGGGAAAGCTTCTTTGAGGTATTTCACTGTGACATAACAGGTAAGATGATATTAGAGTACCTCCCTGTCCCTCCCTTCATACCCTAAGAGTAGCACCAATAGCCATGACTTCCTCAAAGGCAGCTTTTATATGTTTTCCTAGGCACCTGGTCCGGGAAGTCTTATTCCAGACAGACTCCTTGGAACCAGATAGCTCTTTTGCGGACCTCTTTAAACAGAACCTCAACAGCACATGCTTCCCTTCTTTCAACAATCATTTAATGAGTACTTACTATGTGCCAGGATCTGTACTAAGTGCTGTGAGTGAACAAAAGAGAAAGTTAACATCTCCAATGGTGGAGAATCATTAGAGTTCATCATTATAAAAAAGATTAACTCCACTTGATCATAATTTCTTTGGAAAACCAGAATCACTCCTGGAAAACTTGGTATAATCTTAAAAAGTGTTGTACTCTTAGAAAGCACCTAGAAACAAGGCACTCAGTCCAACAGAAACCCCCATGAACAAATTTCAGACACTAGCGATTTAATATACATAGCTAGAAGATTCCATTGACTTTGAAATCTTCTGTTCTTTGCCAGAATGTTTAAACAATGTTACCATCAGCAAGAGACAGAGTCACAGGTCCCTTTTTTAGGAATTGGCAATACCGGATACAGAATGGGCCTCTGGATGTGCAACTCTTAGTTTCTTTCTGAAATTTTAGTAGTAAGTCTTAAAAATAGATTTTATTTTACATCTCAAAAGTGAGAAACTCACACATAGTTGAAGAGATAATAAAAATAAACAGGATCACATAAGAGAGCTTGGCATAAATCCTGCACACCTACAAAAAAAATTAAAACTTCAATGACTGGAATTGAAGCAAAACTAAAATCATTGGAATTTTCATCACTTAACAATTTGAGGGGGAGGATATTTAGGTTTCTATTGATTTGTTTTGTTTTCAAATCATCAGTGCAACTTTGGCTTGGCATAAATACATGTCCCACTAAATGGACCGCCCCCCCCCCATGCTTACCCAAAATAGAAGTGAGCGTCCTTCTCACTGCAGAAGACTCCAGGAAATCCTGAGATCTTGGTGGAGCGTGTCCTCGTCAGACCATTTAAAGCATGTTGCAATCATGCATAATGAAAGAGAATTCTTCCACTGCCTATTGGTTTGAGAAGGTGACCTGCCAGTCCCTGGATATTTGGGTGGGAGACATTAATCAAACATTCCTTTGTCAGTGTTCGTTAAATATAGTTAAATGATCCTATCTGCCTGGGCTGTTTAGACCTGTCAGAAGTAATCTGCCCCTTCTTGAGGATTGCCAAACAGGTTTTCATCCCAAGTGACTCCGTCATTTACTCCTGTTTAAATACAAATCTTACTTACTCAGTAAGTCTGGGCTCACCCTTAAAAACTCCATATGTGCTGAACACACTATGCTGTACCAAGTGGCTGTGGCATCTTCTCATTTCTCTGACTACTACAAAGGATGTGGCCAAATTTTCCTCCAGGGAGTTGGAGAGAATAGAAAGTAAATTGAGGGCAAACCACAGAGACAGTAAATGGGAATTCTCAAGCCCAGACTTGGAAGGATGGACATGAATGACTTTATCCTTATTGACCCAGAACCCAGATCAGGAAAGCAAGCATTATCCAAACCACGCACAAAGAATAGGTCAAAAAGCATAGCTATACATTTTCTGGTTTCATCTTTCTGATGAAGATTTGCAATATGGAAGACAAAAATGAAACTCCTTTTCACAGGGCCAAGTATTTTCAACCTAAGAACAAAGAAGTGAGAGCTGTTCTCCTCAGTGCCACTGGGGGCGCTGATTTGCTTATTTAAGCCACCAAATTGGTTTGGTTGTGTCTTTGGTGCTGGAATGTTGGTAGTGGAGCAACACCGTGGTTCGAGACAACACCAATGTTTGAGTGGGAGGAATTGCCAATTTGCTTCTCAGAACTGGCTCTTGGATGGGAGAACCTTAGACCTTTTCACCCCATAATTTCTCTTTTAGGAATCTCTGCCAATGGACAGTTTGACAATACAGAGAAAGCCTTAATGTGAGAAAATGTTTGTCCTACTTTTGTTTATAATCAAAAGAAAAATGAGATATAAAAGGACACAACTACCTAGCCAGCAAAAAAATGGTTTAAATTAATGACTACTACACAGAAGAGGAATATTCTGTAGCCATCAACACCTGGGTATAAGAAGTTTCAAAAACAAATTGGTTTTCATCTGTTCACAATATTTAACCTGTTCCAATATTTCTACAAAGATCATCATTTGTTCTGGTTATCAGGCGCAGAGAAAACACTAAAGATAACCCCAAGAGTACAGATGCATTACACAATAGACAATACTGAATAGGGCTTCTCTTTTTAAAATAGTTACATGAAAAGATTCATTATTTATTCTCAGACAACAAATGCTTAATCACTCAATTATCTTTTATATTTGGTTCTGTGTAAGAACCACCAACTGGTATTCTTCTGTCTGCTCTCTCTTAGGAAAAACTGACTGCTCATTTATATACCCACCTGGAAAAAAATAACTTACAGGTAGTGCTTTCTCATAACTATTTGATAAACAAGTCCTTTATTTCCTGGCATACCCTGGAAGGGGCCTTCTTATTTTTTGATAGTTATACAACAGGAAAATTTGCATTTATGTACCCACAAAAGTAGATGGAGCTGAGAATCATCATTCAGATAAGTGTGCTCTTCTTTTAACTTTGTAGGTTTTCATGTCTTTATTAGATTCTTAGCTTGTCTTTGACTTGCTTATGTTTCCTAGCATGAGATTTAGAGTCGATACGTGTCAATGAATCCTGCTGAGCAAGTAAATAAAGCCTCTATATCAGGGAGTTTCCATGTTTTTTAAAATTTTCTTTGCCTCAAAAAGCATTTTAAGTTTTATGATGAACCTCCGATATTCTCGGTAAGTCAAAGAGGAAGTTGTAGGTGGAGTAGCGCACACCTGTAATCCCGGCGTCTAGGGAGGCTGAGGCAGGAGGATCCCAAGTTCAAAGCCAGCTTCAGCAATTTAGTGAGGGCCTACACAACTTAGCTAGACTCTGTCTCAAAATAAAATAATAAGAATAAGAATAAAAGGGGCTAGGGATGTGGCTCATGGTTAAATGCCCCGGGTTGAATTCCTGGTTTAAAAAAAAAAAAAAAAAAGACAAAGTCTGATTGAAGTGGAGGTGGGGAAGGAACAAAGCTGAGGATGATCATTAATTTTTCAGCAAACTAGGATACTCTTGGAGGTGAAAGGAAACACTATTAGCAATTGCTTTGGGACAACTTATTTTACATTTCTGCTTTCAGAAGATCACATGCCCAGATTGTCCCAGGGAAATGACTGGGAATTGGCTACATAAAATGAAAACCCCAACTGGGGACATACTATAACTGAAGTCCCCAAACAAACAACAAATTGGAGAAAAAGTGTATTTGCAAAACACAGGCAGAGGGCTAACTTGGTCAATTTAGAAAGTGCTCAAACAGAACAATGAGGCAGAGAGGAATCTCCCCCAAGTTAGCAAAAGACAGCAGCAGAGGTAGTTTATGGGCTTGTAGGAGGTGGGGGTGGATGGGCCACAGAATACAAATTACAACGGCAGATAAAAATACAAAAAGAAGCTCAGTCTTACTCATCATTAAAGACATGTAAATCAAAACAAGAAACCATTTTCACCTAGTAGCTGGGCAAATGTTTAAGTGTGATGATACCTGATATTAGTTAATATGCAGGAAGACAATCATTTTTAACACTGAGGGTACTGCATACCACCAGGTTCAAACTTTTCAAAAGGCCATTAGGCAAAAGCTACTAAAATAAAAACACATATTATCTCTGACCTAGTAATTACATAGCTAAAAATTGATTTGATGGATACATTGTAAAAACAATATAATAGAAACCATGGTCCATCACAACAAAAGAACCCTGGAAATGACCTAAATGTCCACCAATTAGGGAAGGATTTCACTATTTTATGGAATAGAGAATATCCATAGGGTAGAATGTTGTACAGTTAACAAAATAAAAATTGAGGAAGTTTTGTGCTTTCTGATCTGGAGGAAAAAAAAAAATCTCAGATGTCAGTAAGAAGAAACAAAAGCAGAGTCAGAACATTGTGTATGTTGTGGTTTTTATTCTGCACATTGCTAAGAAGCAACTTATAAGTATTATGTATGGGCTTTTTAAGATCCCAGCAGAGAGCATTACCAGGGGCTGTCTTTGTTAGAGGAATTCAGTGAAGGAGGAGGGTACAAGGGAGCCTTTATTCCACTTTGTACCTTTCCGCCTTGTTTGAATTTTCTAAATATGTTCACGTGCTCTCATCATAAATTTTTAAAATGTCAACAGAGGTTATCTCTGTGGCAGGATTATTGTAATAAATATTATAAAAGATGGAGACAGTTATGTGTGGGGAAAACAAAATGAGAAGCCCAAGTCAAGAGACATTCCGAACTTTGAAATCCATACTCCCTCAGATGACTAGGAAAGAGTTTGGAAGAAATCGCTTGCTTTGCAAAGTGTTTTGTATTGAAGCCACCCATTCACACAAAAGTTTATCATAATATTAAAGTTGCAAGCATACCATTCCTTGCTTCCTAGAAAGAAAATGAGAAAAATAAGTATAAGGGGCATGGGAACAGAAAACATGTCCGTGACAGATGTCAGCATGCTCAAAAGATTCCTCAGAACAGTCATCCCACCTCATCTTCATTCCTAGCCCTTGGTAACCAGGAGGGACACTGCTTCCATGGAGCCCTCCCCCAATATCATTCCCTTAAAATATAAAAGCCATGTTTGATCTACCATACCCTTCTGAAAGGGTGGTAGAACTATGGTTGAACTTAGAACTGGGAAGTAGAAGCCTTCTCCAACTGCACAGGGAGGGTCTTCTAGAAACCTCCTGGGAGGGCTATTCCCTCACAGAAGTCACCAGTGCAGAACACCAGCTAACCAGGCCTGTTCTGTCCTCAGGTCAAATCAAAAGCAGAAGTAAAGAAGAGTGAATGCAAGCCCTATCCCTTGATGCTGGGTTGGGAGTGGGAAGGAGACATCACAAGCACTAAAGGATGTAACTGAAGAACTGCTCCATTCATTCAAACATTCAGTTCTCCTTCCCCTGCCCCAGTAGATATATGGCTAATAAGGGTTTAGCATCCTTCAGTATCCATTTTTCTAACCTACTATTTTTATCAGAAGCAAAATACCTGTATTTGTGATAATTTTCTACAAGTCTCATTCTCAATCCAATATTTTTTAACAAATAAAAAATATTTCTCAGCAGTCCAATAATGGACATTGGTATCCCATTAAGTGATTATCAATCATAATGGTCATTAGGCATCTTCTGTTTCTCAGGGCGGATGCATTAGCACCAACCCACAGATCAGGCAACACCAAACCCCTGACAGATGAGAAAACCGGGGCTCAGAATAGCTGAACCTTGTGCATAAGATCACACTGCGAATAAGTGCCTATGTGCCTAGTTCAGTGTCCTACAGATAATATAGAACATCTTTAAAGTTAAACTGAGTAAAGTCAAATTTGCCACTAGCTTGCCTTTCCCTAACATTAAACATACACAAAAGACTGGACTCTACAAAATGAAGCAAATATGAAAATCTAAGAAAACAGCTACAGGTTTATCCACCTTCTGCACTGATGGAGATGGTATGAATTTGTGCTGTCCAGGAGGTGGTCGTCAGCCATAGGTAGCTACACAGCACTTAGTGTGAGGCTAGGGATACTAAAGAACTGTTTTGTTTTTTTTTTTAATGTGGTGCTGGGGATCGAACCCAATGCCTCACCCATGCTAGGCAAGTGCTCTGCCACTGAGCCACAACCTCAGCCCAGAACTGAACTTTTTATATGACATTATTTTACTTCATCTCCAGACACAGGGCTACCATATTGCAGTTCTAGCCAGTGTCATTCAAGAAGCACTTATTTTTAGTAAAATGGTATCAAAAGGAGAGGAAGTAGAGAGAGAGTAATGATATAAAAATCGCAAACCATTTAGAGCTGGAAAAAACCTTTCTGAGACCATCTCATGCGACCCACTCATTTTACTCATTTTACACAGATGAGTAAACTGAGACCCAAAAAGACGAAGCAATTCGCTAAGCTCACACAA